GCCCCTCCCCTCAATTGACATCATGCCTCTAAGATAAAGAAAGCGAGGGAATCATACCTCTGTGAAATATGTTAAGAGTTTTTGTGAATTTCATTTTTGTGGATGTGAATGTTATAAACATTACTTCTTCCAAGGAGGTTTAATCCCTTGATAGAAATAAGTGTCACTAACTGACTAAAATTTGCGCAAATCAGTGCCTGGCATATTTATATTTTATATATATTATGCTACTGGTAACATAGCCGTGGCGACTCTTGATTCGGGCTTACATTGCATTACCCTCAGCAAGAGTCGTGGAAAGATCCATTGGCAGAACTGCACATTTCCCGTTGGCTGCACGATGCTCCGTTTTTGACCCGGTTTTTTGCTGTCCCGAGCTTCCCTACAATATAACTCCACAATTGGCCGGGTTGCCGATGTTTAGATCAGCCTAAATATTCCACAGTGCGACAGAAAAGTAGTAAAATAGCTAGTCGGCACAAGCTGGCGGCCATCTTGGATATAGTCGGGAATGTCCGCTACCGCCGTCGGGAACGCTCGGTAGCGTCACGATTACCGAAGCGCGACCGAAAGCTCTCCGATTATAACCGGAAAGGCTACCGAGCGTTCCCGACAGCGGTAGCGGACATTCCCGACTATATCCAAGATGGCCGCCAGCTTGTGCCGACTAGCTATTTTACTACTTTTCTGTCGCGCTGTGGAATATTTAGGCTGATCTAAACATCGGCAACCCGGCCAATTGTGGAGTTATATTGTAGGGAAGCTCGGGACAGCAAAAAACCGGGTCAAAAACGGAGCATCGTGCAGCCAACGGGAAATGTGCAGTTCTGCCAATGGATCTTTCCACGACTCTCACAGTGCACGGGGAGGTCGGGTTTCTGCTATTTACATATCAGAAAAGTATTCTCAACTGCGTCTGTAGAAGTGACGTGTTATGAGCGGCGTTCTCTCACGACGTCGCGTTGAACGGGTTATTATCGGCAAAGTGTCTTCAAATGTACATTTCCTGACCGTTCAACGGCTCTTTTCCGATGGGTTCTGAATTTCGGATACAATGCCGATCGTTTTCCGACAATATATATCGGATTTACAACGGGTACTTTCTCCCACAGGATCCCGTCGCCGGTCGCCTAGGCAACAAGTAACAAACCGCTGGCAGAGGGGGTTTCCCGGCTTGGATATTGCCATGGCGACACTCGAGATTGACACATCGACTCACGTGTCACCATGGGAAGGTCACATGACCGTCCTGACGAATATATTACTACGCAGTTCTGAATGAATGGGTTGGGGACATTCTACCCTTTGCAACTACTAGTTGTAGTACTAATTTTCCCCACAGGATCATCATATATTCGGAGAGTGTTTTTTTCCCTATTTTCATTCCAATTTTACTGAAATCCCCTTGTAAGTGGCATATATTCTTCTTGTAACGTCACAATTGTACATTTAATATTTGTAATTACACGTCTTCATTTTCAAAAGTGCAATCTGCAGGATTAAAGGTTTAGTTGAGTTTGTTAAATGATTCTTACATTTATATGTGAGAATTATTCAATTCAATGGTCGTGTGCAAAATAAAAAGTCGATACAATCAAGCTGGGCACGAACGCACGGAGTACGAGCCACCGCCATACGTATACGGCACGTGGCAATGATGACTTATGAACACAATACAACAATTTCTATGGTAGCTCCGTCTTTAGGACTCCTGAAAACGTACAAGAAACTGGAACATAAGTCAATCACACAATATCAATCATAGCATAGCATGGGATTCGAACTGGCGCCGTTCTGGCAGCCACGTATCGCAAAGCAAGGCAAGGAGGCAGCGACTCTACCGACTGAGCCACTCGCGCGCGCGCTACAAATGACGGTCGCCGTGTTCAACTTGAAGAACAAAGCGCAATACAGAATGACATGATAAACGTCGCATATGGCGTACAAGATTAACCTCAGGAATAAATAGTAACTATTATACGACATAGGTGAATTTCAAACATTTGTTACTTTCCATTTCCTTTGAAGAAACTCGAACCGCCACGTCAATAGTGTAATATTTGCACAAGCAAAGTACAGAGTTCGCCATGGCTCAGCGGGATGATTGCAAGAACATTGGTGAATATTGCGAGATCCAGAGGTCGTAGGATCGTATCCCGACACAGATCTTTTCTTTATATCTTTTTTTCCCTCCTCCTTATCTCTTTTTTATGCCTTTCCTCTGAATGAATTTTTTAATACTTATCAATTATAAATTACGAGAAATTTCTATCAAACCGACAAAGGGATTATCTCTCCCAAGTGTTGTTTGTACTTTTACAGGGTAACCTTACAGTTTGATTTGATTTGATTAACAATGCACTACACGTGGGACACAGGCAGCTGTTGCAAATGTATGTGAAAAAAACAACAACAACAACGTATTAATTAAGGCTTGTAGGGCTAGTCCTTGCATCAGCCGCCCTGCAGCTCTTTTTGTGCTATCTCCAATCAGGTAGTGTGTATTGTTTTTGCTTCGGTCAGCTCTCGATACAGCATGCTGTTTCCTGAAAAAGAAATATAATAGTATTATTTGTCTATCGAGTATCATTATGTAGCATACAAAATAAGTGCCAAAGAACGCACAGTAGCCTACTTATAGTTAGCAAACGCGACAACTGTGTAGGAAGACTTGTGCAGGGTCGGAGGCAGTGGAAGAATGATGTTTAACAGACCAGGCAAGGTAGGTTCGTTTTTGTGTCGATCTGCCGTTCACAGAGCTGCTGCAGTGCCGGTTTGCTCTGCGTCACCGCCCTTCAGTGTAATCTGATATTCTTGAAAGTCACCGCCACTAAAGCAGTTCAATGACGCTTTGAGGTAAAAAGTGACGCTTAATACGAATTTCTCAAATAATATCCTGAAATCTGTGCTGCTTCTTGGCTTTCTTTGCAGACCAGTGCGGCGGCGGCATTATTTTTCGGGGGTTTGGGGAAGCTGATCGATGCGGGTTTTGGCCGCGGAGGGAGTTTGCCCGCGGAGGGAGTTTGCCCGCGGAGGGAGTTTGTTGGGCGGCGATACTCGTGTTGATCAGCGGCCCACCCCAAAAACAATGACGCCGCCACACCAATCTGCGAAGAAGGCGGTATTAAAACTTGGTCAACCTAAAGTTTTCTAGTCTGTGTAACGCAAATACTGCCGTCCGCAGCTTTAGTGGCCCCTTCCCGCAGGGCGGCTGGATGGGCGGCCGGCAACCGTAATTTTAATCAGGCTAAAAGTTTTCAAGTGTTTCAAAAGTGTCCATTTCAATGGTCTTCATTATCATCGATATCAGTTGACTGTATTTTGTATTTAGGCAAAGCTTATATTAATAGTAATCAACAAGCAGAAAAAAAATTGAATCGAATGCCTAATTCATATGACTAACCTATGCTACATTTATTTGGGTAATCAGGATGTAACGCATATTATGACCTCTGGTGACCTATGGGGGAAACCGATACGTGGCCGACGTTCGTCGTGTATGTGTCGGAAAATGGCCGGGAAACTAATGGGCGGACTCCATTGATTCGGCCCGATTTTTGGCCTTTCGTCGGTTCTAATGTAGGGATTATCAGTACTAAAAACCCGACACATGTATGATATCTTTCTGTTAACAACCAGTTGACAACCCGATCTCCCCGTGCACTGTGTCTTGCTGAGGGTAATGCAATGTAAGCCCGAATCAAGAGTCGCCACGGCTATCCCAAGACTTGCTTGAAGCCCCCCCCCCCACTCATTTTTTATCATGATTGTACTTTTTGTAGTGAAGGCTATTTGTAGCGCAATATAAACCTCATCAACCCGAGCTTAGTAAAGCATGACAACACTCTCGTTCATGCAGATGAATGCTCTATATACGACGGACGTACTGTGTTCATGTAATATAACGTCTTTATGAACCTCCGTTACATCTACGTGACAAGCACAAGGTAGCAGGTCACAGTATTAATGGGCGACCCCCGGGGACGATGACGCGGGTATAGAAAGTAGTGCAGCGAATATTCTTGAAGGCTGGGTAGAAAGACTGATAAGAGCGTCAGCCAGATGTAAATTGTGCTGTGTGGTGTAGGAATGTATCGGGTTTGAGACTGTGTGATTTGAATTGTGAAGGTTTTGCAGTTCGTGTATAAATGCGCCGTATTGCGCAACTGGCTTTCCGGGTGAGTCGGCTGCAGTTCAGGTCACGTCCGTAGGAGGCGATTTCAAAGTGTACGTTTCGAGCAGATACGCCGACAGGATTTGTTCGTTTCTAGATATCTTGTAGTTTGTACCTTCTTCTGAAACATATTCGATTTTCGTATTTGTGAAGTGCACCCTGCTATAATTCTTACCGCGTCGAAGTGAGTCATCTTGGGGTCCTTAACTATAGAAATCCCCATAGGGCGAAAACTGTGTTCTGCTACCTTCAACAGACACGGGAATCAGCCATTAATTCCAAGCAGCGGTATTTTCGACCAAATTTTCTTGGTATACCAAGTACTGACGTAGACTCACTTAAAATGTACCAGTTTGTTTCACCGTCAGACCCCCGTTGCCATGGCAACGGCCCGCTATGACCGCCGCCTATGCTTAACTATGGGACTTAGTAGGGAAGTGCCACCGCCCCGAAGCCGCGTTCACCCCCCCCCCTTTTGTCCGTAAACAAGCCTTACACTAAGTAAAAATCACTCTAAATGATAGAGTAGGCACTGATGATCATTGTTAACAAGAAAAAGAGGGCCAGAATAGTACATTTTATTGGATAATAGGACCACTAAATGGCCCCTCGTACGGGCCTTGGACGGGACCTAGCCCTATGGCAGGTGCCGAAGTGCAAAGTTGGCAATATCTCAGCAACCGTTTGGAGTTGTGAACTAAAATTTGGTCAGGTTTCGCATCTTGTCTAGTTTTGTCGACTGAGCGAAAGAAAATCCATGGGCGACCCCCGGAGTCTATGACGCGGGTATAGAAAGTAGTGCAGCGAATATTCTTGAAGGCTGGGTAGAAAGCCTA